AAAAGAAAAAAGAAGAAAGAATAACAAGAAAGGAAAAGAGGAAACTTAGTATTATTAGATCTTACTGACAAGCGGATTTCATTCTATTTGACTACTTTTTGTTCACACGCCTGCCTCCCACACAAAATCCTTTCATTCCAAAGTTTGCGCAGTTGTTCGTATTTTGGGCAGCCTATACCTAGCTGAACTAATGTAACGCATACAACAAGATAAATACAATATATGCCATCTAAAATTAAATTTAAAAAGACTGCCTAAACTTATAGGGCAAAAAAAAGAATTTTTGGAAAAAAATATCCCTTACGAAAAGATGTGTAGAAATTAATTTTGTCGATAATTATGCTAACATATTTGATATAAATTTATCCAAGTTACATAGTTTTTCACCTTGATTGAGTTAGCTCTTTATCTAAAGTTTCTTATAGGCTACTTTTAAGTCAATGTTTGAGCAAGAAAACACGATTTGCATGATAGTAGGATGGTATTCTAGTGTTTACATAGTAATACTAGCATTGTTGAGTGACCAAAAAAGAATTTAACTCCTTCATGTTTCATATTCTTTCTCGTAGGGTGAGTTGTTGGCGAGAAGCAAAAGTGGAAGAATAAGGCTAGAGAAACTGAACTATTCAACGACGAACGTACTTCCTATTTGTGATGAACGAGGGAGAAAATTCAAGATTGATGATGCAGAGAAAATTAAGTAGTAAACACTACGAAATGGCTGCCCAACACGAACCAACAGAGAATCAAAACGACTGCAAATTTCTCTCGAATCCCAAGGAATGTGTCCAATCTTTTGCCAAGAAAGCTTTGAAGTTTTTCGACATTTATTTGTTGTTTTTTGGGATGATATTCATCATAGCTCTTGGCGTTCATTGGACATCTAGTGGGCTACTCCTCGGGAAGTTCCAATTTCGCCACATCTGTATCGTACTGATATTTCTCATCTTTGGCGTACAACTTAAATCTGACGACATTTATTTGGCTTCAAAATCCTACAAGGGTTTGATCTGGAGCATGGCGGCAATTCTTTTTGTTACACCAGCTCTTGGGATACAAATTACGAAGACCATTCATTTCGCAACTTTATCGGATGAAAATATTACGACTGAGCACTCACTCGTACAGGCCAATGTCTCGGCAATAGGACCCACCGAGTTTGCACTTGGTTTACAGATATTTTTTGCTGTTCCTTCGTCTTTCACTACGGGAGTTATTTTGGTAAGTAGTTTTAAAGCTGTTTGCTCAACTTAATGAACGTTTTGGCAACTAAGGGCGAGGTGAAGTCAATTAATGCTAAGAATGTATGTTGGAAAATTGGGGAATCCAGACCAAGAGTATGTGAGTAAACATAATATCAGTAATTTGAAGTTATAATCTATAATTTTTAGAAATAAGGAACTTCGTTTCAATAAATTGCGCGTCTAATGTAATTTTTAGGGTTTTGAATTCTCAGCTAGTACGTCAAGCTACGTCATTTATTTCCTTTAATAAATTATTAATGTCTTCCCATTCTGCTCTGCTCTGCTCTGCTCTGTCTCTTCTCTTCTCTTCTCTTCTCTTCTCTTCTCTTCTCTTCTCTTCT